ATGACTATTCTCATGAGGATTCTGAATTTTGCGAAAGGGAAAATTTTCATGAGAATTCTGGCTTTTGGTACCTATATGGCGTGCTTATGAGAATCCCCTATTTTGGTGTCTCATAAGCACGCCATATGTGTACCAAAATCTGGAATTCGCAAGAGCACGTTCAAATTTGTACAAATATAAAGTTACTTTTGCATGACTATTCTCATGAAGATTCTGAATTTTGCAAAAGGGAAAATTTTAATGAGAATTCTGGATTTTGGTTGATATATGGCGTGCTTATGAGAATCCCCTATTTTGGTGTCTCATAAGCACGCCATGTATGTACCAAAATCTTGAATTGTAACGAGCACGTTCAAATATGTACAAAAATAATGTTACTTTTGCATGACTATTCTCATGAAGATTCTGAATTTTGCAAAAGGGAAAATTTTAATGAGAATTCTGGATTTTGGTTGATATATGGCGTGCTTATGAGAATCCCCTATTTTGTGTCTCATAAGCACGCCATATATGTACCAAAATTAGAATTCTCAAGAGCACGTTCAAATTTGTACAAATATATTGTTACTTTTGCATCACTATTCTCATGAGGATTCTGAATTTTGGAAAAGGGAAAAATTTTCGTGAGAATTCTGTTTTTTCCTTCATATATGGCGTGCTTATGATACAACGTCGTATTGCTTATTATTCATAACATATCTTATACAGCTATTTGGGTGGTGGAAATAATCATATTAAATAAGTTCAGCGTATCAGTAGCCTCGTTAGGATGCTTTTAGGAACAGCTGCAAATGCAAATGAAGTTTTAGAATACAAAACAACAACGGCTATTCTGTTACCAACTCGACTGACTTTGCACATAGGCTATCCAACATCAACATTGAAGACGATGAAATTATGATTTCCTTTGACGTTGTTTCTCTGTTTACTGCTATCGTTGTTTCTCTGTTTACTCTATTACTGCTATCACGTCATTATTAAGCTTCTACGTTTCATACTGTTTAACAGCTTTTTTAACTACAACCGGCAGACCTACAAACAAATCCATGGTTGTGCTATGGGCAGTCCTGTAAGCCCTATTGTGGCAAACCTCTGTTTAGAGGTTATTGAAGAACTCGCTCTGTCTCAAGCAATTATACCACCTAAGAAATGGTTTCGGTATGTTGATGATGTTTTCTCGATCATTAAAAAACATGCATTACATTCCTTTCATAATTTACTGAACCCTATTGACCCAGACATAAATTTTACTACAGAACATGAACAAGACGGACGACTTTCATTCTTAGACATTTTAGTTTCTCGAAACAACGGGACGCTCATCACTAATGTCTACCGTAAGCCTACGCACACTGACAAGTACTTAGATTTTAATTCACATCACGATAAACAACATAAAATTAGCACAGCACAAACCCTCTTACACCGGGCAGCAACACTTCCTAACTCAATCGAAGGCAAACAACAAGAACGTGAGCACGTAATTAAAGCGTTGACGGCTAATGGATACCCACAGAAGTTCCTGGCAGAAGTGGAAAAGAAACGAGCTTTGAGACAACAAAAAACACCTTCACCTGAAGAACTTGTTCGAGAGTTTTTTGAAAGAGTTGATCCCAGCACGAAAGTTGGTTACGCGGTTTTGCCATACATCAAAGGCCTAACAGAACCTCTCAAACGCCTCCTCAAGCCTTATAACATCCAAACAACAACGAAACCTATACACACACTTGAACAAATGCTCCCTTCACCGAAAGACAGACCACCATCCGAAGAACAAACAAATGTGATCTATCGAATAAATTGCGCCGATTCTTCGTGGAGCTACATCGGTGAGACGGGTAGAGCGTTTATCACACAGAAAAAAGAACATGTGAAGAATGTCGAGAAACAAAAAGCGGGTTCAAATATTGCTAATCATGCCTGGTCTTATGACCATAAAATTGATTTTGACAATGGCAAGATAATCGACAAGGCAAACTACCGCCACAGAGCTACATTGGAATCTTGGCACACCGCGCTCACAGCTAACGCAGACAATAATTCCAAACATTTACCGGAACAATACCGTTTTTTATTAAAGAAATAGAACAATTTTTATCAGAGTATATATAGGCGGAACTATCACTTCCACTTACCTGTTTGTCACTGTAATTTGTTAACCGTAAATTTACAGTGTAGGCGTATGCTTCGATCTGTAATTGTAAACCGTATAGTCGTCTGTAATCACTGTATTTTATAACTACCCGTTGAAGGCTGCAGTCTGGCAACCGAAAGCTCGTAAATAAAAAATCTTCAACCAGAGAACGTCTCAAAAATCATTATGTTTCTGAGATATTGCCATTTTGGTGAAAGCTTGGAATTCAATCATGAATTTGCCATATTGCTTGCCAGTTTAGGGGGTGGTAACATTGTAACAGCTTGCCAGTTAATGAGTTAAGAAAGAAGAAACAAAATATATGGTAAAAATATATTTATTGCGAGTTATTTATGAGAACGAAGAATCCATACATGATTTTGACAGCGGTAGGCTATATATGAATATAAGATATTGTGAGTTTGTTTAAGTATTAATCTACAGGACTACAGTTATCAGTTGAAAATACCAATGGTAAATCAATTGCGGGTTATTTATGAGAATGAGGAATCCATATATGATTTTGACAGTGGTATATGAATCATAAGATATCGCGAGTTTGTTTAAGTCTTAATCCACAGGATTATAGTTATCAGTTGAAAATGCCGATGGCAAATCAATTGCGGGTTATTTACGAGAACGAGGAATCCATATATGATTTTGACCGGCAGCGGTATATGAATCATAAGGTATCGCGAGTTTGTTTAAGGTGGCTCCCTACAGTTGACTAGAAGTGAAAACACAATTGTGAAATGGAAACACGATAATTCTTTTAGGTGGAAACACTCGCGTCGTCCGATCGGTAAAAAATTTGAAAAAGCTGTATGTTTTCAAACTTTATGACAAGGAAGAAAACGCAAGTTTTTCAGTTTAATTGTAAATTTTTGAAATTCAAACTATACGTATGTTGTTTCCCAGTTTCTACGCTACCTTTTAATGTGTTTTTATACGTGTTTACGTTCAATATCGTGTTAATAATGTTCTTTTAAAATTGATATTTTATATTAAATCAATAAATGTATTTTAAACAAACTCCTGTCATTCAACTTAAATTACCACATCTATATGTAGTGTTTTATCTTTTTAAACAAGTGAATGTAAAACTAAAGTCCTACATTTATAAATTTAATGAAAAGAATTTATAACTCCACCTAATTTTTTGATATAATCTCCCACTAGATATTTCCCTTTACCCCTACCAAATTTTAGAAACTTTGACCAAAGGAAATTTTAATAAATTAATTTTTAGTGTAAAATTTAATGTCTGACTGCTGTCGCTTGGGTCACATTGTTACCATAGCAACACATAATTTGATTCTTTTGAACTAATGTACTTCAAGCATAAAAATCGCACAAGCGTTTATACATTCAAAAAATTCCCCATTTTGCATAAATAGCAAATTATTTCGCATCGTTGTGAAGACCTTATTTTCTCAACAACTGTAGGGAGCCACCTAAGTCTTAATCTACAGGACTATAGTTATCAGTTGAAATTACCGATCAGGTAAATCAATTGCAGGTTATTTACGAGAACGAGGAATCCATATATGATTTTGACAGCGGTATATATGTATATATATGAATCATAAGATATCGCGAGTTTGTTTAAGTCTTAATCTACAGGACTATGTAGTTATCAGTTGAAAATACCGATAGTAAATCAATTGCGGGTTATTTACTCAACTGGAGTTCACAAAACGAAAATATATTTACCGATGGTAAATCACTTATTTTTCGTTCGTACCAACGGTACCGATGGTAAGGCCATTTGGTGAGCGTGCCTATCCATGCTCAGCTGGAGTTCACGAAACGAAAATATATATTACCGATGGTGAATAATTTTTTCCGTCGGTATGTTTGCGAGAGTATTGGATATGTATGCAGTAACCCCTCGCCAATATTTTCCAAACATTAAATTAACATGAAGTATTCAGAAATGGCCAACACTGAACGCAGGCTCGCGCTCAAGTGTTGCCATGACAACACGATATTCTTAAATTTTTAATCTTCATATTTTTTGTACAAAACTGCAAAATAGTTGAAAGATTCGTACTTTTAACTATACAACAATAAATTTCCAAAATATATACTGTAGGTATATTATTTTGCATTTTGTGAGCTTTGATTTAATGCAAAATTTAACTTGAAACGCTTCGTAAAATGTTTTGAAATGTTCATTCAACTAAACTACATTTGCCGATAAACTGTTTTTACTTTATAATAAAACATAATAAGTTTAATACAAATAAAACAAATTGTTAGGTAATTTTAGTTCAATCTTCAAATCAATTTGTTGTCTTTACATTTTAAGATTTTTCTCAAATAAACGGTAATTTATAAAACTTAGAGCTTTGTTGAAAAGGAAAACAGTTCATGTTTTTAGGCAAAAGTTTAAAGCAACAAAATTCGTAAACATTAAATATTCAAAGCAAACTTGACGTATATTTCACGATTTCCCATAGTAAATCAATTCTTCTCATTTCTTCAAGCTTGTTGTATATAAAACGATTTTCCAAATGTATTGTTATTCTCTAAAGTATCTAAATTGATCTAAGGTTCTGAAAGTTTGTCCTTACAAATAGACTAATTGTTACCAATAAATTTTAGGCCTGATATCTTTGCACTGGCTTTGACAAACGTCCACTCCTTGTTACAACATATGGTGTAGTTGATCCAACATGATTCTCTGCAGTGGTCACACGTTCACAAGAACTGAATGGTTTCCTTTCTGCTCGTCTGTTCTGCATATCTGACTCCATTTCAATCACTTTTAAGGTGGTCATTCCCCTTTAAACCTTTTTTTTTCAATTTATGGCATATTAATGTGAAAATATCATTTTTAGAAAGAGTTTGGTGATAGAAAATGACTTATGCAAAAACATTTCACAAAGTCACTAATTAGACTAATTAGCCCACAAATGCTCAATGTTTGAAACATGATATCACATGAACCAATTACTCAAATTTATGATATATTTTTAGAAAGCTTATGAATGATATATTTTTAGAAAGCTTAGAACCTAATCTAGTGCCTGACCCTCTTTATTTTCACCTTAAAGTTGTTTTTTTTAATTTTGATATTAAATGTGAATATTAAGGGAAAATTCAATTTTTCGACAGCAATTTAGGTAATTAAATATCGAATTTTTGTTAATAATGAAACATATTGAGATTTGAAGAATGTCAGGCACTAGCTAAAGGCATTAGCCAATACCATGCCAAGTTTCAACTATTTACAGAAAATATTGAAGACGATATGATGCAACAAAAATTTCTTGAAACAGCAAAATCATCGAAATGATAAAATGCTGTTTTGAAGTTTCGCTGTTTTTTTTTGCTTCAGAAATGTTCAGAAGGCCCCTGCTTCATAAGTAGTACTTTCATTGCCTTGCACATTATCAATATAATGTTTTCTCAGATGTCTCAATGTTTTCCTTCTATTTTTCACCTTTTCTGCTACTTTCTTGGCCGACAGTTTGATCCTCGCTGTGTGATTATCTTGTGCACCCTTGCTGGTGAATATCCCAGGAGTGATATCCAAATCACTCAGAATCTTCAAGAAGGAAACGTCCCCATCATTGAACCTCAGGACAGCAAGATAAGTGGCAAGAGCAACAGTCTCCTGCTCCACATATGTGGATTTAGGACATCTGTCCCAAATAAGTCTGTTCAAACATTCATTGACATTCTGTGTCATGCCGTGAGTGCACTTACTTAAGAGGCCGTCTCCGTAAGAACCGACCACTGATTTTTTTTTTCGAAAATCAACCTTGCCTCTAACTTTTCTTATTTATTAGACTTAACAAGCATACTACAAAATCACATTCAGAATTTTTCATCTCGCGTTGTTTCCAGAGATTTTTAAACTTTTGTTCCTTAGGGCTATAATTGGGATCTCAACGCTTGCCATAACGTAAAAATACCACGTCTGTATCCCTCAAATGCACAGACACACGGCCCGCTTTCCAATTTTTATGTTTATAATGTGAAAGTTAAGGTCTTTGCTCGAACATATCAAGCATCTACACATTTCAAACCCTTTTAAAACGTCTTTTTACACGAGCGTGCTTCAAGGTACTTTTTCAACATGGGTTAGGTCCTCAAAATTACATGTTTTTACGATCAGATTTTGCAAAAGTGGCACTACCCACAAACTTCTACTTAAATATTTTTTAAAATACTAGTTGTAAATTATAATTCCATCAAAACAAAAATTGGGGGATTTTTTTTCAAACTATTTTAATCGACGCGTGAAATTTACAATTCTTTGGTGCTCACTGGAAATGACGCTGACAACCCATTCATTAAAAGTTCGCGGATAGTTTACAAATTCAACACATGCTAAAAGTTTTGAACATAAAAACACTGCTTGAATTGCATAAATCTTATGTAGACCACCTGTATGTTTCAAGCAGCCGCAAACGTTGTTTCAACAGTCGCACCACACAGGTAATAACGTAATGTAAACAAATGTGTCTATATAATTATTCGCATGTCGCGAAACCCCGCTGCGAGTGAAACATCGTGCATTATAACGCCAAAAAATGCTAAATAAGATCTTGCTAAAACATAAGTGAATCATATTGTAGTTATATACCACAAAGTTTATCAAATTAAGATAAAAAATCATTCAAAAATACAAAATATTCATCCGTCTATATTTAGGATACTCTGAGTACGAGATTGTAAACAAACAGTGACCCATTGCGTTATATACTAAATTTTTATCTAGACAAGAGGAAGGATATCTTTTACCGGCATAGCTAGAAAGAGCATAATAAAATTAGTATAATTGCAAAGTTTGGTCGCGAAATGTTGTAAAATATCGAAAATAAAGGCTCGCGAAGTTTGAAAAATTTGTCATAAAGGCTATAGTTTTGTATTTATGTGTGGCCAAATTGATACCGTTTTGAGAACAGGGTATCGATTTTCGCCGCGCAATAAATATACAAAATTTGAAGTTATACTAATTTTATGATGTTCTTTCCAGCTGTCTATATCCAATTTTGCAATGGATCCATCTATATCTAAATAATATTTGAATATATCATATTTCAATAAACTACACTACAGCTATATTTATAGAAAAATTGGGTCAAACGTACTGCCTCTACAGTCTTTAAAAAAAGACTGTAGAGGCAGTTGGACCCAATTTTTCTATAAATATAGCTGTAGTTTATTGAAATAAGATATTTTCAAATATTAGGGAAGCCTCACATATCGATTTTGTCCATGAGAAACGTCATATGCTCGTTTCTCTGGAGAACCCCCACACCCCCACCCTTAGAAACGTCACACATAGTTATTGATATTTTGTTCTTATAGTACACATAAGGTAATTTTCTCCTATTTTTTCGGTCGGCTATTGGCAATGCTTCCGCGAGGAATATGTCATCTGCTGACATACTCTTTTTTTATTAATATATATGTGAACTTCAAAATTTCCAACGTTTCTTAAAACAACTTAACTTTTTTTGCATAAAATATTGATAATTTTAGCACGTATTTCTTGAAATTTGAATATTTTCAATGCAAGAAAGGCGTAATAATATAAATATAGGTATAGAACAGGTATGGTATTACGAATATATAGACCTGCTGTTTGTATCAAATCGTTTTCTTTTTTATATTCTGCAAAGACAAAACTATCAATTTTTTCCATGACGTTTACAGAGAGACGTCACAGCTGCCAACCCCCCCCCCCCCAACGAACATATGACGTTTCTCGTGGAAAAAATCGATATGTGAGGCTTCCCTTATTTAGATATAGATGGATCCATTGCGAAATTGGATATAGACGTACAGCTGGAAAGAACATCGTAAAATTAGTATAACTGCAAATTTTTTATATTTATTACGCGGCGAAAATCAATACCCTGTTCTCAAAACGGTATCAAATTGGCCGCGTATAAATACAAAACTATAGCTTTTGTGACAAATTTTTCAAACTTCGCGAGCCTTTATTTTCGATATTTTACAACATTTCACGACCAAACTTTGCAATTATACTAATTTTATTATGCTCTTTCTAGCTATGTCGGTAAAAGATGTCCTTCCTCTTGTCTAGATAAAAATTTAGTATATAACGCAATGGGTCACTGTTTGTTTACAATCTCGTACTCAGAGTATCCTAAATATAGACGGACGAATATTTTGTATTTTTGAATGATTTTTTATCTTAATTTGGTATATAACTACAATAAGATTCACTTATGTTTTAGCAAGATCTTATTTAGCATTTTTTGGCGTTATAATGCACGATGTTTCACTCGCAGCGGGGTTTCGCGACATGCGAATAGTTATATAGACACATTTGTTTACATTACGTTATTACCTGTGTGGTGGGACTGTTGAAACAACGTTTGTGGCTGCTTGAAACATACAGGTGGTCTACATAAGATTTATGCAACTCAAGCAGTGTTTTTATGTTCAAAACTTTTAGCATGTGTTGAATTTGTAAACTATCCGCGAACTTTTAATGAATGGGTTGTCAGCGTCATTTCCAGTGAGCACCAAAGAATTGTAAATTTCACACGTCGATTAAAATAGTTTGGAAAAAAATCCCCCAATTTTTGTTTTGATGGAATTATAATTTACAATTAGTATTTTTAAAATATTTAAGTAGAAGTTTGTGGGTAGTGCCACTTTTGCAAAATCCGATCGTAAAAACATGTAATTTTGAGGACCTAACCCATGTTGAAAAAGTACCTTGAAGCACGCTCGTGTAAAAAGACGTTTTAAAAGGGTTTGAAATGTGTAGATGCTTGATATGTTCGAGCAAAGACCTTAACTTTCACATTATAAACATAAAAATTGGAAAGCGGGCCGTGCGTCTGTGCATTTGAGGGATACAGATGTGGTATTTTTACGTTAGCCAAAGCGTTGAGAGCCCAATTATGGCCCTAAGGAACAAAAGTTTAAAAACCTCGGGAAATAACGCGAGATGAAAAATTCTGGATGTGATTTTGTAGTATGCTTCTTAAGTCTAATAAATAAGAAAAGTTAGAGGCAAGGTTGATTTTCGAAAAAAAAATCAGTGGTCGGTTCTTATGGAGACGGCATCTTAATAAGTCAGTCTTACTCAGATGATCAAATATGGGTTTGATTACATTCACAATACATGGTGGAATACCATCCTTGTGTTTATAATTATTCTTATCCCTTTTATAGCTACACCAACTGTCCTCTCCATCAGGACAGAGATGATGTTGTGGAGTCTCGTCTGTCGATCCAACATGGTACAGTGATGCTTCTATGGCCTTAGCCATTTTACCAACATCACTGAGGTTTTCTCTCACTGCCAGGCCACAATAGTTCTGAAGAACATCTATTTTGCTATCAGTGAGCCGTACCTTTGCCAGCCAAGCCTTTTCCATCTGCCAATTTTACACCTTTACTTTGATTTTTTAATTTCCGCAACCGACTACCAACCCTTTTCTGGACATGTCCAATGCATTCCATTTTATTTGGTATGCATTCATCTCCATATGGCTTGCTTTCAACAATTTTGTTGTAAGTTGAGGAATTCCCATCACTAAGCATGTTCTTATACTTGAGTCCTCTTGTTTGAAACAACAGTTTGAAGATTCATAAAGCACCAACTGTCTCCATGCTGTTTGCACTTCCTACATGGTTAATTTTGCAGTTGTGTGTAGCTTTCCATTCTTCATATCTTGGATAACTTTCCTTCTTTTCCCACTTTTGACATTGTGTGCACTTGTCTGACATCACTTCAACATCGAGACATTTCTTCGAATCCAGCGAAATCACTGTCACAATGCCATTGTGTGATGCATGGCCCCTCTTCTGCCACGTACCATCGATTGATACCCCACATTCTCCAGCGTCATTGGGATTCTGTTCCCTCACTTCCATAGCATTATTCACCATACTATCACTAGCCAATTGCTTTACCACAGGTAGGAGCTTTTCATTCTGAATCTTGGTAAAGATGCGACGTGTTGGCGGTTCAGGCATATTCATAACTTTGCTGAAGGTTTTCATGGCATTACGTCCTCTACCAATTTCTCTAAATGCTAGGACTGCTCTTAGGTTTATCTCATGAGAAGTACTAAAACAGTGTTTCCAGTCACACTCCACAGCTTTACACTCTATTACAATATAATTGGAAAAGCCATGCTTCTTCTCCAGGTCAACATGTGAATCTATATCACCACCACAATCAGGATATTTTAAAATGTCATCAAAAACGCCAAATAGGACAGATAAATCCATAAAAATTGTACCTTCCTTCAAATTAGTGCTCATACCAGCTGAAATATAATCAAACTTTGCCGTATTTTCACCAATTTTCTTGGCAGAAGGTCCAGGGTTTTTATAAGTGGATCTGCCATCTTGGATAATTTTTCGCCTCTTTGACGGTAGAATTCTTGCTTTCTTTCGCGATCTGTTTCTAGGATTTCCCATTTATTTACTCTGATATACAATCAGAATAACAAATATTTTAATGCAAAGGAAGCAACTTTTCGACTAATAAAACAAAAAACAGCGATTTTCGAAGATGACTTTTCACACAACACGTTGCGACTAGACCACAAGTTCGGCATAGAAAGCATGTTGCCATGGCTTCAAAAACGGACCAATCACAAACAGACTGAATATTTCATGCGATTTTTGGATGAAAACGTTTCTTTTTGGATGAAAACGGGGTTTTTTTCACGTTTCTATTGAATATTTCATGCGATTTTTGGATGAAAACGCGTTGCTAAGGCGTTTCTATGGAGGAAATTTCACAGCCTTGCTACTTTAAACGCATTTTTCACGTATAAAAAATAAAAATCAACTATAAATTCTAGAACTACAATATTTAAAATACTTAAAAACGCATTTAATAAAAATTTCGAAAAAATTTTGCAAAATGACTTTGAAACGGGGGAATGACCACCCTTCTAAGAGATTTCTGCGGTTTCTTCGATAATTTTTACTGTTCACTGTCACTATATACGATCTTGGCTGTTCAGGTGTTGGTGGTCGTCTGACAAACTCCCAAACTAAGTTGACAGACATCTGTATAACTACTGGCGTATTTCCATCCGCTTGGAAAGTGGCAAGAATAACGCTGTTACATAAGACCGGTGAGAAGTCAGACAAAAACAACTATCGACCAATATCAGTTTTGCCAATTCTGTCAAAAGTCTTCAAACGTCATATTTATGATTCTACATATTCATTTTTAATGATGTTTTATATCAATTCCAATCAGGTTTTAGACGTTATCATTCAACTGAAACTGCTCTCATAAATATTTATGATAGATTGATTAACAACCTTGATAATAACTCTATAAATGGAATAATCTTCACTGACTTCAAGAAAGCCTTTGATCTTGTTGATCATAAGATGTTAATCAGCAAACTCCATATTTATGGTTTCGAAGAAATTAGCTTGAAGCTTGTGACTTCGTACCTCACTTCGCCCAAGCAATGTAACTCTTTAAATAGTCAACTTTCCTCGTCCCAGTTGTTAACACATGGTGTGCCACAAGGCTCTATTCTTGCCCCTTACTATTTCTAATATTCATCAACAACCTCCTGGAATCATATTATATTCTGCAATAGCCGATATCTTTGCTGATGATACGACGATTAGCAACTACTCTTCTTGGCAAGATGTTGAGAGTTTACATAACAATCTTATCACCAATACACAAAACCTAGAACACTGGACAGAAAACAATCGTCTTCTATTAAACACAGGAAAGACCAAAACAATGCTCATTACTGGTAAAAGACTGAAAGGAAAACTTTCTCCTGATGACCAAAACATTGAAAATTGCAACAAAAACTGGTGAATACTTATAACAGGTTCGTAGTTATAAACTTCTTGGAGTTATACTCGATGAAGAATTAAATTTTAATGAACACATTGATATGGTTTGTAAAAAAACTATTGAAGAGGATTGGGCTTTTTGCATTCTATACGTCACTGCCTACCATTGAAGGAACGAATTAAATTCTACAATGCAATAATTAAGCCAATATTTATATATGGTGGACTGATATGGCCTTCAACAAGCAAAGATAACCTATGTAGAGTGTTCGAACTCCAAAAGAGAGCAGCGAGAGTAATTCTGGGGACTAGAATACAAGAAGAGAGAACTGTTACTTTGTTTAACTGAATTGGTTTGCATTTGACGATGAACTCAAACTAAATACATGCTGCTTGGTCTTTAAAATCATGGATGGTTTAGCTCCTGACTATCTTGTTAAAAAATTTTCAAGAGTAAGCGATATATCCACAAGGCATAGTTCAAGATACGGTAATGTAACACTTGCCTGTCCAAAGTACAATTGGTAAATGGAAGGTGGTAAATCATTTGCAGTATCGGCAACAAAGTTATGGAATAGTATTCCCGCCACCATTAGATTGAGCTTTCAACATTAAAACGTTAAAACTCTTTTGCAGTTCAAAACTCTCTGCTGCATCGTAATTCCACGTCCATCAAATGCTTTGTGCCAGTCAAGTACCATTTGCACCAGTCAAGTACCATTTGCAATGTGGCCATGCCTTTCCATGTATTTCAAGACGCCAATAGAAAACATGCGTTCGCAGTCAGGAATGCTCTGTTTGTTTTTTTCCGGTTAGTGCTTCATATGTCAGACCTGATTTGGGGTCATTTAAAGCATCAGCAAAAGCTTTCATGTTTATGCCTGGAATCGAACCACTTCTAAGACATTGCGTGAATCTTTTAAAAACATGACCATGATCCTCTCTATCAAGCATTGCCTCGCCTGTGACGCTGCTGATCTCGGGTTGATAAAGGTGACTTTCAAAGTCAACTCCTGCTTTCAATGACTGCACAGATTGTTTGAAAACATAACTGGCAAACAACAATCTCAGACAATCAGCATATGTTTCACTTTTCCCTAAACAAATGTATACACTATCCATTTTAGAATTAAATTTAACACACACATAATGCATAAATACTGTATAAATACAATCATGTTCTTGCCTGATGGACATGGGTCATAATTCTTGGGATACATTTGTCTTCTCATAACATGAATCACTTCATTAAATGGAATTTTCCGGTTGGGGTCTCCATTTTCCATGAAATCATAAAGCCATGCAATATCTGATTGGGGTATGGCATCATGTGTTATTTCTGGTTTTCCTACAAAACACAACAAACACAATGATGATTTAGTTTGATAAAATCATAATGAGTTTTCATAAAACTGTATCATACTGATAATCACTTCACAAATCACAATTTCGCAAGTAAATAGATCATTCCAGCTATAGATCGACTAAATTAAAATACAGGTAAGAATCGAAGAACAAAACGTCTTTTCAATAAAGGGAAAGAGCATCTTAAAATTATTATTATGCGCAGGAAATAATGTATAACCATTTTTGGCTCAAATATGGTTATTAATTTCCCTCGTGTAATACAAATTTATTCAAAGCTTGCGAATAGCATACGGTTTTAATCTACTCATTTTACAACATTTTGCAACCAAACTTGGCAAATTTATTAAATTTCATTATTTTAATATCACCCATTAAGCGCCAGCACTCTCCCCTTGACGAGTAAAATCGTCTGGCATTAGACAGAGTGAAATAATAAAGTAGGGCGCATTGGGGCGCAATGCAACTCAATGGCTTAAATAGACACATGGGCAGATAGGCCAGTTAACCCATTAAGTGCCAGCGCTCTCCCCTTGATGAGTAAAATCGTCTGGCATTAGACAGAGTGAAATAATAAAGTAGGGCGCAATGCAACTCAATGGGTTAATTATTTAATATCTACCATGATAGTTCTTTCCAGCTTAACCTCATTGAGTATGTGATACTGTGTACAGTAATAACCAAAGTCTGCTATTACACATGGATTAATGAAATAAAAAAATAACACACCATTTGACTCTGTTGGTTTGAAAAACTTGTCAAGATCAACAACTTTGGTTGATTGCACAAGTTTCCTTACATCCATGGCTATCTGAATAATGGACACAGCCCTGTGTCCCCCACGAGTTCTTAATGAGTTCCATTCCCCATCAGTAACAAACCCTATGATCAAAATGAACAACAATAAATGCGGAATGAGCCAGCATGCAAGCAATGATCGCAGACACAGATTAGGTCAGATTAGCACAATCAAAGTTTATATAATTATATAAATATATGAACTTACCAACAACTATCATCCCCAATTCTTCCATTGCATCGACCAATTGATCTCTCAAATGTTGCATATCGTTATCCGTAACCGTAAGATCTGAACTGGAATGTGGCATATGGTTTAAATTCCCTGTGTTCATCGGCTATCATAAACACCATTAAGTGACTAGCAGGTTCACGCTTTCAGAAGTACAGCTGCTTCAGGTAGTTGCATAGCTTGTCACGCAAATTATTCCAACTGCCGACAGTTGTAAGGTTTTGGTCTTCTTGCACCAAGCAGATCTTTGAAATCAACTCGCCATTCATCTTTACCAGCTCTGTGTAACCAGTGACATCCCAAGCAAGGGCCACAAGATTGTCCTGAGAAACGTTTCCGCTATCAACCTTCTTGTTGTAGATCTCAGTTGCATTCTTTAAGCCCTTTTGTAGGAATAAAACATCACATTCAAGGTCCTTCTTGACATCAAGCAGAGTTTTGATGAAGTTGTCACTTCCAACTTGCAAATTCTTGACCCTCTTTTCCTTAGTCCTATATTCATCATGTATCTTTTTTACTTCACCATCTCCTGTATCTTTATCTCCAGACCATTCACCACGCAACGACTCACATAATCCTTTTCTCAAATCACATGCATCAGCCTTGATCCACCAACGCCCTTTGGGACTCCTCTTGTGGGCTACTTTCAAAAGCTTTTTTTTTAATGATAGTGCCTCTTGAGAATCCTTTTTTCTGAACCATTCTCTTCAGATGTCTGACACCAGCTCCAGCAATGTTGATCTTAGCCTATTATAGTGCCATCCACTGGATAGTGTTTTTTTGAAACCTTTATAAAACTAGGCAACAAACAGAGATATTTTGTTTTCCCACCAAAACAAAGTTGACAGTCTTCAATCTATAAATATCAAACCTACTTGTCTGTTATAATGATCAGTGGGAAGTTTTATGAAGGTTTCAAAAATTCACTATGCAGTGGATGGCGCTATCCACCTTCTGAACAACCAGCCCTTGATCCACTAAACCTAACTCACAACTATCTTTGCAACAAATTATAATATAGCATTTGTAAATTCTGAATGCTGATTGGCCAAGAGCCATGTTGATATAGCTCAATGTCAACATGGAAACTTTGGAAAATTTCTTTATATTTCTTTATGCAATATTATAAAACAAATATAAAACATTTATAGAGAAATAGGGAAAACTCAAAATTGTGTGAAAACACCCCGCCCTTCAGGCGTCGTGTTTCCACACAATTTCTTGTTTTCCCAACTTCTTTTTTCATGTTGAAACTGGGTACAAGTTATGTGCTTATACATAATTGGAAAGCTATCATTATTACCTTGTAGGGGCAATAAAAATGTGCTTGTTTAATTTTCTTCTATGTCGTGTTGGTCGAACTTTAAAATACTTTTCCACTTCTTCAGGCTTGTCTACTGCATATGCCAGCCAGGGGCGCACATTAGGGGGGGGGGATGTGGGGGGGGGGGGGTG